AAAAAAAAAAGCATGCCCAGGCATGGTGGCTCATGCCTGTCATCTCAGCACTTTGGGAGGTGGAGCCAAGAGGATTGCCTGGGCCTAGGAGTCTGAGACCAGCCCGGGGAACTTGGGGAGACCTTGTCTCTACAATCAAAAAATTAGCCAGGCATGGTGGCACACGACTGTGGTTCCAGCTACTTGGAGGGCTGAGGTGGAAGGATGGCCTGAGCCCAGCAGGTCAAGGCTGAGGTGGCCAAGAGCGTGCCACTGCATTCCAGCCTGAGTGACAGAGTGAGACTCTGACTCAAAAAAACCCAAAAACCTAAAAAAATAAAAATGTATTGTATGCTAGTAGAGAAGAACTAGAAGTTAAGTGACCTCTGCACCTCATGCTACAAGGTACAAAACCACGGGATGGGACAGAGCAGAGAAACCAGGGAGCCTCACCTCCATACTCTGGAGCAAAGAAGTGTAGATTCTTCTGTTCTTCTCGACAAGTCTTCACGTGGTTGTTGATAGTGTCAGGAGCCACTGGGAGTAGGGAAGAAATCCACAATCTGACCATCAATGAAGCACAGTCTCACTCCAGAGAGAGGTCCCCAAAAGCCCAATGCCCCCCCTGAAGTCTCCTTTCTAGCCCTCAACAGGCACAAGCCTACCCCCTTCCCTATCCTGAACGACAGACCACACATGGACCACCTACCTCCCCTTTCTCTACCTGCTGCTTCTCATCTAAGGTCCCTAACTCAGTAGCAACAAGCATCAGACTAAATTAACAGACACACGAGGGCTCTGGGCTGGTCAAGGAACAACACAAGGAAAAACTTTCACTTGGGACCTGCTCACCTTCCCCAAATCCCAGATGCATCTAATACATCTAATCCCTGATCACATGAAAACATGTGGCTTTAGTTATTTCATCCACCCTGCAAAAAACATAAAAACACAGGCTGCCCTTCCTAAACTGGGACAACTGGAGACCTCAGGAACTTGGATAAAGAAGGATAAGAAGCACAAATATATGACCAAGGAGACAGCCTCCTTCTTACCCACCTTTGCTGGGCAAAACTCAGAAATAGCACACAATTGAGCCAAAACCCTTGAATCAGTTTCTCTTGTAATCCTCCAAAAATGTTTCAGACTCCTGTTCTACCCCCTTATTGCTCAACACTGCCTGCCACAGGGCTGGGCGAGGAACCAGGGCCAGGCCCAATTTGGGATCATAAACAATGATTACAAGTCACAAAGAATCTGGGAACACAGTGTGATCTAGGGGACTAGCCTGATGGTGAGGGGGACATGATTCCGGGAGGTCAGTGGCCAGCCAGGCAGAATCCACAGGAAACAGGCAGGTTCTGGAGGGGCAAGCAGGGCGAGGGCTGGCAGGGCAAAGCTAAGCAGGCATAATTCAGCAAGGACGACAAGGGCCAGGGCTTGCTCCCACGACCGCATGCACTGGGCAGTCGCCAGGGGAGCAGAGGAAGCACAAACAGAGCCCCGCGTGGGGCAGAGGGAGCTCTCACCATTAGCAAAAATCCTATGAAAGACTGTTGGGAACAGAGCAGCCCGTAAGCGGGAGGGAGGAAAACAGAGAAAAGTTGTGAGCGATGGAGCAGCCAAGCCCCGGACAAATGGACACATGAACACCACACAGACAAAGCACACAGAAATGTTGCACACAGCACACAAATACACAGCAAATGAAAGCACTCACAGCAGGCACAGCCTGGAACCTCCTCTGGCAGGGTCTGGCCCCAGGGCTCGAAGCAGACCTCACACCCACCTCTCGCCCTTCCCCAGCCTCCTACCGACATCTGCACCAACCCACTTCCCTTCAAGAAGGTACAAGAGCGACACCCTACCCCTCACCACTGGCTGACTGGCCTCTCCCCGTGAGCAGCCCCTCACGAGGCACCTGCTCTTGTCACCAGCCCACACCTCAGGATGTTGCCCTGTTCTCCCCATTCCTTGCATCGTACCCCCACGGTTCCCAAACTCCCGAGGCTTCCCTGCCCAGAAGCTCTCCCTCCCCTCACCAGAGCCAATCTTGATGAGTCCGTTGTGCTGGATGAAGATGGTGTCACAGGTCAGGTTCCCATGGATGATGGGGGGGTCACAGGAGTGCAGGTAGCTGTGGGGGCACTGGGCTGTTAGAGGGGCCACTGGGAGATTAAGGGCAGGGGGAACCCAAGGGTTAAGAGGAGCAAGGGCCAGGTCTCCTGCCGGTCACCACACAGATTATCCCCACACTCTGAATCTCCAATATGCCTGATGGTTTAAATAGCTGGATAAGCACTAGGAGAAAGAGGTAGGAGATGATGTCGTGGTTAGGGCACTAGGATGCACCCTTTAGAAGACCCATAGGTAATCCCAGTACTGTGGGAGGCAGAGGTGAGAGGACTGCCCAAGCTCAGGGTTTCGAGACCAGCCTAGGCAACTTGGTGAGACCTTGTCTCTACAATAAATCAAAAAAATTAGGCAGGCATGGTGGTACACGCCTGTAGTTCCAGCCACTTGGAAGGTTGAGGCAGAAGGATCGCCTGAGCCCAGCAGGTCGAGGCTATGGTGGTTGTGAGCATGCCACTGCACTCCAGCCTGGACGACAAAGTGAAACTGACTCAAAAAAAAATAAAAAGACCCCTGGGGACCTAATCTTGATAGTATACAGCTCACAGAGAGTTGGAAGAGGCAGAACAGTACAGCAGAGTAGTGCCCCACATCTGTTCAGAGGAACAAAATCAGGAAATGGGAAAGAAAAGAACCAGGTGCTGCTTACCTTAGAGCAGAGAGAATCTGTGTGCACCAGCGCTTCCACGCCTGGAACAGAGTTGGGCCCAGGATCAGCATAATTCCCTTTCGTAACCCTCCCAACTAGTTCTCTTCATTCCCTTCCTGATCAGCTTCATAACCAACATAATTTTTTGTCTGTTTCTGAGTTGAGTTCTCACTCTGTCACCCAGACTGGAGCGCCATGGCACAATCATGGCTACCACAGTCTTGACCTGCTGGGCTCAGGCAATCCTTTCGCCTCAGCCTCCCAAGTAGCTAGAGCGACAGGTCTGCACCACCATGCACAGCTGTTTGCTTGTCTGTTTTTTTAATTGTATTGTAGAGACGAGGTCTCACCCAGTTGGTCTCGGGGCTCAGGCAACTTTCTCACCTCCACCTCCCAAAGTGCTGGGATCATAGGCATGAGTCACTGCACCCAGCAACATAATTGTTTTTAAAACCCCAAAAACCAAACTAAACTCTGTCTGCTCTCCCGCCGTACCTTTTCATTCATAGTCTTGTGGTTCTTTTTGGTCTTCTTCAGAAACTGTTTCAAACTCCCAGATGACATATATTCTGTGATAAAAATGACCTACGAAGGCAAAAAAGTTTCTAAAAAGTCTTACAGTAAGAAAGGACCCCTTACATTGTAACACAGATGCAAGATATATAAATTTGGAAGGGTTTTTTTTTTTTTTTTTTGAGTCAGAATCTCACTCCGTCACCCAGGCTGGAGTACAGCAGCATACTCATGGCCACCCCAGTGTCGACCTGCTGGGCTCAGGCAATCCTCCCACCTCAGCCTCCAAATAGCCAGAACTACAGGGACACGCTACCATGCTCGGCTAATTTTTTTATTTTTATTGTAGAGATGAGGTCTCACCAAATTGCCCAGGTTGTTCTCGAACTGTGGGCTCAGGCAATCCGCTCACCTCGGCCTCCCCAAATGGTTGGGGTTACAGGCTTGAGCCACCATGCCTGGCCTGGAAGGTTTTTGTTTTTTAAAAGTTTCTCTCTTTTTGTTCTTAGATTGAACAGGACAATGAAAACTACTGAGCAATAAAAGCAATGGGATGAACAAAGCCAAGTCCACTCGTTTCCGGCCCATCTCTGCCCAGACAGAAGGCACAGGCAGCAGCTGAAGCCCTACTCATTGCCACAGCAGCCAATTCCAGACCTGTTTCTAAACTACCTTTGAGTGTAAAAGGAACCATGAATGTAACTAGTATCTTTGCAGTAAGCTCAGGAAACCCCAGGAAAAAGTCTTACCCTGGCCTTGTTCTCTTTAATGTCAGCCCAATATTTGTGAAACTTAACAATGTTGAGATGTTCCAACTGAATCAGATTATCAAACACAGCACGGACCTTTTCCTGAGAGCAAGGGAGACAGTGGGAAAAGAGCGTTCACAAGCATGTAATCACCCTGAGAAGCCATCACCTTCCATCCCCAGAAATGATCCAACCCAACACCCTCTCCTCCACTTCCCAGCACCAACTCCTCTCTAACGGCCCAGGCTGCAACCTTTCCCCATCACCTACCTCCTGCAGTTTGTAGTTTTTGCGCTCTGAGAACTGTACCTCATTCCACACAACCTCTACACCTTCCTCTGTATCCATGGCCAGATAAGCACTGTCAATACCTGGCACATTCCGCTGATTCACCTGAGAAGAAATTCAAAGAAACTTATTTCAACCCCCTTTATTTTTTTTTGAGTTGGAGTCTCACTCTGTCGCCCAGGCTGGAGTGCAGTGGCATGTTCACAGCCACCCCAGTGTCGACCTGCTGGGCTCCAGCGATCCTTCCGCCTCAGCCTTCCAAGTAGCTGGGACTACAGGCATGCACCATCATACCTGGCTAATTTTTTGATTTACTGTAGAGATGAGGTCTTGCCAAGTTAGGCTGGTCTCAAACCCGTGGGCTCAGGCAATCCTCTCACCTTGGCCTCCCAAAGTGCTGGATTATAGGCATGAGCCACTGCACCTGGTCTCAATCCCCATTCTAATACTCCATGTGATCACCATCTCAGGCTTGATCTCGGAAATGTGCTCTGCCCTTTGACACTTTGCTTCTCCAGTGCTCGTCTCTCAGAATTCATGTTCCCAAGAAAGACGGTACCATCACCTTACCTCTTCTCGTCTCTTCTGCCAGCGTCCACATGGTGACTCTTCCAAAATCTCAGACTCATCTTCACTTTCTTCTTCTTCCTCTGGGGAAGCAGCTGAGGTTGTGGAAGTCACAGGAGGTGACACTGATGTCAGGCCAGGAGCAGAAGATGAGGATTCGACCTTAGGGTCTGAGCCACTGCTGAGGACTGTCTGGGCCTCCCCCTCCGACATGCTGGGACAAACACTCAGGCCTAAAATGGTTTGGGGCAAGAACACAGGGAGAAGACAGAGGGGGTCAAGATAAAGATGAATAATTTTAGCCAGGCTCAGTGGCTCAGTCTGTAACCCCGCACCTTTGGGAGGCTGAGGTGAGTGGATTGCCTGAGCCCGCGGGTTCAAGACCCGCCTGGGTAACTTGGCGAGACCTCATCTCTACAATAAATAAAAAATTAGCCGGGCGTGGTAGTGCACGCCTGTAGTTCCAGCTACTTGGAAGGCTGAGGTGGAAGGATCGCCGGAGCCCAGCAGGTCGAGGCTGCGGTGGCCGGGAGCGGCCACTGCACTCCAGTCTGGGCGACAGAGCGAGACTCCAACTCAAAAAAAAAAAAAAGAAAAAGAAAAAAATAATAAGCCCCATGGCGCTGTTCCAAACAGATGACTCCAGACTCCAGTATGTTCCACCGAGCCAGCCCTAAGGACGCACCTGACACACCCTCGGAGAATTCGTCACCTAGCACTAACCTTGGCACTCACCGTCCCTCCCTCCCTACACAGGTCAAGCCTGTCAATCCACGATGAGGCTACCCTTAGGCCAGGCGACTGGCAATGATTGGTGACCTCCTCCCTGGTGACCTCACCTTCCCTGCGACGGGAGTGTGACCAACAGGGATCGGCCAGCCACATTTTTTGAGTGCCCTTGTTTGACGGATGTTTGCCCAATCACTGGTGGTGGGCCAGGCAGTGGGCGAGGTGCTCGAGACCCCGGTGCGCGAAACAAAGGCGACGCCACCGACGCAAGGCAGTGAAGTCCCGCTCCCCGGGCCCTGGGTGCGGCGGGCACTTCTCGAGGACACACGCCGCGAGACGCCCTCTCGCAGGAAGAGCACGCCCGGGAGAGCGCCCTTCCAGAGGCAAGCTGCCGGAAGAGCTCCCAGAAGCCGAGAGCGCGGAACTCGTGCGGTCACGCGACCTGGCCGACCAGCGCTGGGACGGCACCGCGGGCCCGGGCGCCCCGCACTCCCTGCCCCCGCGGC